GTCATACAGGTGCGCTTTTCAAATATCCGTCCCTCTGCGAGACGGGTGCTAAAGAATTTTTTCCTAAACTAAACGTAATCTAAACGTTAAGTATAACAGAAGTTCGAAAACAAGCAAATTACTTGAGGAAGTGTTATCCTAATGATTTACCTGTTACGTTTGCAAATGAATGTGTTCATTTTAGAAGCTATTTACTTACAAACTCAAATAAAGAAAATATACCTAAAACTGCTGTCTGCTTTCAGTGGCGTAGCCAGGATTATGAAATGGGGGGTGTTTAAACTTTAAGTATAGATTAAAACCAAGTTTATACAGTTTACGAATATAAATAAATGTTGACTTGTTGCACTAAAAATGATCGAAATATGCAGTCAAAATATGCTTAAATATATGCAGCTACATTTTTATATTATTTTTGAAAAATTCATAAAACATACTACAATTTTGGTAGGTACTATAGGTTAATAAATAAGTAATAACCAATAACGCGATATGCAAACACCTTAATAAACGAACACGTATCTACTGATTTTCATTTCTTCGTACAATCTAGAATCTAGATGTCAATTATAGTATTAACACAGTTTTGTCATAAAGAGACTTATATTATATAGACTTATGTTACGTACCATATGCGAAAATAGGGCCAACCTTAGCCTAGCTCCACCAACAACTTTAACAAGCAACAGCCCTCCAAAACATTAGGTACCTTAAATTTTTTAAGCTTTTTAAATTTTATAATAGTATGGTCTTAGGCTACGGCCTCCCCAAATCTCAAAATTAGGGCCTATATTGTACCTAACCAAACATAATATTTTTCAATGTTATCCAAATATGATATTTCCCAACAATTGTATGTACATTTAAGTTAAAAAAATGCAAAATATGCGAAAAATAGCTCAAATGTACACTTTTCCAGTTTCCTAAAATATCCAAATTTTGTTTGATAAGACATAAAAAATTTCATAAGACAAATTTATAACTTATCTAAAATAATCCACGACCACTACAGTAAAACATCCAAGCAGTCCCGAACAATATAAACAATATATTTATTAGCAGGGAAAATTTCAATGGGGGGTGTTTAAACACCCAAAACCCCCCCTTGGCTACGCCACTGTCTGCTTTATAGAAATGTGTAAAATGATACATGCGATGATTACATTCAAAATATACACCCTTATGTCAACATATAGCACACAGAATGTTTTTAAATTTTCCAGCATCTAATTGTTCATCAGAAAGATCTTTTAGTGCTCTAAGAGAGTTAAAGCATAATATCTAATTATCCTAGATGATGGTCCTTAATTTATAGATACTGAAATTTTTTTTTCAATTTTTGATTAGGCTACTCCTGGAATTTGTTCAAAACAACAAAATAATGAATTGTGCGAAGTTTCGTAAAAATTGATCAACCCTAAGGCGTGCCTCGAGAGGTTTGGAGTTCAAAGAAGGGTGGTGTAACCTGTGTATTACATCATTATGTTTATTTTATAAGCATCATAATATGCACAATAGGCATATTATGAGATGACTATAATATATTAAGCCCCTCCTGTGTAGGTGACACATATATATTTATGATTGTAAGGCTCCGGCCAATATCCCTATGTAAGAGAATGGCAGTTCTCCGCTAGTCTATCACGTGCACTTGAACTCTGTACAATCCTACATTTTTGGTAACTTTGTTCGTAAATTGTGAGTATTAATAAATAATTTTCTTGTGTTAATAATAATTTAGATCAATCGTTATTTATTTTTAATATTAAGATCCTAATACCATTTTTGCTCCCGATCTACGGTAAAAATATATTCAAAAGAACTAATTTCTTCCCCGAATATCTTATATTTAACGGGTCATCCCCGACCACGTTACAGTGGCTTTTCAATTTTTGCAATTTTGGCCTAAAATATTTAAGATGGGCAAAAACGTGCTAAATACATAATATTTTTTAAATTGAATATGCTATAAAAAATGTTACTTGTCATTTTTTTATTTAACTGCTCATTTCAATACTTGGATGACAGATGAATGATGATCGGCTCAATAACTTGGCGATTTTTCATGTAGAGTCAGATATAACAACTCAAACACATCATGATGACATCATACAAGATTTCAGTGGGAAACAATCTAGGCGTAAATTATAATGTTATGTTATAAAATTTTCAAAGTATTTGTGTAAAATGTATGGTCAGATTGTCAATACATTTTTTTTTTTTAAATAAGTATTCACATTTTATTTTGAGTGGGGTGTGTAGGGGTGGCGATGAAATGTTACCTCTCCCGTCAAAACTCTAAATAAGTCTCTGCCAAAAGCGTTATCTATATTCGTCTAGAGGGAAAAATCCTAATATAAAATGTAATAAATGTACATATGTTGTGTTTTATAATATATATACTACCGATGGACAATACTTAATAAGCTCTCAATATTAATGTATTATAATGGTCTCCCGAGCATGTCGGAACCGCCGCCGCCGCTGTTGACGCGCACGCGCGCTACCCGACGACGCGTAAAAAATATAATCGGCGACGGATCGGATTCGAATTTCGAAACCGATACGCGGGAAGAAAACACGACAACTGGTAATATTATTCGTCGCTTTATAATATAATATTTGGTATATAATATTATACTATGTAAAAGCGACGAGTATATTACATTTGTGTGCAGTATATATAGGTACTTACTGTTGTATAGTCTCGTCTGCTGTGCACCTATATATATATATCTGGCGGCCATAATATGTCGTAGGTACGGCTGGCGTATATATATATACAATATACACACAATAATGTTGTACACGGATCGTCGCTCGCGTTGGATACAATTTTGAAATATGACCTTTGCTATGTAGACAAGTATTATTTGGTACATTATACGTATAGGTACTCCATTCGGTCGAATATCGGTTTGCCCACGGAATTCCGGCATCGACTTGATTTCATATATTATATTATATTATTTTATTTGAATATTATAATATACATTTATATATATATTTATATATATATATATATTTATGTATATCACTTGTGGTAGACGCAGCTAAAATACTGGCCAAGAGAAAATATAATATAACAATATATACGTTACCACATTATTATGAATGCATTAGTATGTTTATTTAGTAGGTATTTATTATTTATGTTATTTACTTCACTATTCGTTCTAGTTTTGTTGTTCTAGTTTTGCTGACAAGTATAATTATTTGGTGTATTATACGTATAGATAGGTACTTCATTCGATCGAATATTGATTTGCCCACGGAATTCCGGCGTCGACTTGATTCATACTATATTATTTTATTATTATATTATAATATATAATTTGTGCCTGGATAGGCGGCCGTAAACCAGCTAGCAATACTGGGCAAAAGAAAATATAATATAACAAAATATATGTTACCATATTATTATGTATTAGTATGTTTATTTAGTATTTATTATTTATGTTATTTACTTCACTATTCGTTCTAGTTTTGTCATAGGTAGGTTCTCGGTTAAATGTATGATTATAATTAATATATAAGCTGTCTGATACGACGGTAGAGGTCCTATACTATAGGAAGTTGTAGGTGTAGGTGGATAGTGATAATTAGGTTAGGAATACCTAGCGATTAAAAATCACGATGTTCAAAAATAAAAATGTATATAATATATTATATTAAAAATGTATTATGTAAGACATAAATTTATTATGTATATAGATTTTACACGTGAATAATAAATATTATTTTCAATTTTTTTTTCCATCAAAACACAGATTCTTCGTACGAGTAATACTAAAAACTTAACTCAATAATAATATATTTATATATATCATGCTACAGCGATGTATTATTATAATATATAATATATATAAATATATAATGATATGTACAACAAATAAAATATACACTGTATATAAATATAGTAAAAAAAATAATCATGAAAAAAAAATTATATAAATGATGATAATAATAAAGTGACTAGAATTAAAAATACTAAAATATACAAAATAATAATAATAATATAATATTTATAATATTATACACACGAGCGCGATTCCTGAAGAAATACACGCATTTAGATCGTCATCGCTGCGGACACTTATAAAAAAATAATATTCATCTTAATACTACAACATCGCGGTCAAAAGATCACAACCGCACCTTTACCAGGGTATAGTATTGTACCGCGGTCGGGACATGAGCAAAAATATATAACAAAGAAATATTACACGTGAATTATACTTATACATTATATTATGTCATACGAACCGATGATGAGATAATTATAATAATAATACAATATTGATAGGTAATAATATAATAGTAAATAGTAATAATCTTATTATTCTTATTTTAATAATAATATAATATAAGACGCTCGCTCAGGTGGCTCGGCGTGTTATAACATTCACAATATGATATTATTATAAAATATATTTATACATATATATTATTATACACAGCTGTACACACTCACGTGCGCGCATTAATTAACGACGATACGAAAAAATAAAAATACGCGACGACACATTAATTACGTTCGTTTTTTACGACATTGTTACTCCGAAAACTCGTAAAATTTTTTTTCCTTCCTATTATGATAATATTATAATATTATATTATGTTCGACCGGGTCGTAAAATCACGAAAATCGATAAAAGCCTAAGTGCTCTCTTGCGTATTGTACGTTTTGTTTGTTTCCCCGTCGTCGGTCGGCGCACGCGTAATAATTTACGATGATAATATTATTATTATAGGTACCTAATAATATGATAATCGCCGCCGCCGCCAACGAGTGCGGAAACGAGTATACGGCGAGACGTATAAATGTGCGACGGGTGATGCGCATATAGTTTCGTGTATAGTTTTTCCGTGTCTATTCCTTTAATTAATGAATATTGAAAATATACATAACGCGTCTTGAGGGTTGTTAGACACGGTAGCCCTCGGAGACCCGCCGCCACCCACGTCACGCCGCCACCCATCTCAGCAGTGGCAGCCGTTCACACGCCACCCCTGCTGCTGCAGTCGTCCCCGGAACCCATCGACGAACAGTCCTCCGAGTTGCCCCCGTAAGACCGCTCCTCGTCCGGCGGCGAACTCCCCGCGGCGGCCGATGCGGCGTCGGCGGCGGCGTCGGTTGGCGGCAGACGCGACGACGGAGCGCACTCAGGACACGCGCCGCCGCGACCCTTGTCCGTTTCCGGGGCCATGTACACCTTACCGCACTTGTTGCACTCCTCTTGGGTTTCACCTGCGCAAAACGAGACGAAAAAAATTAAAAACATATTAATACATTATACGGACGAGATCACGTCGGGATAACGTCATTATATTATATAGGTAGGTACTGTGTCGTTATTGATAGTCGCTGCGGTGTACAAGCGTAAATTATCATACACTTTATATATAGGTAATGATTTATATACTAAACGGGGACTTGGGGCGTTCGGTGGCACGGAAACAATTATACAAATGTAGATATATTATACACCTAATGACACAAAATAAGAGTTACAACATTTCTTTACAGACGTCATGCAAAACTTGTGATTATAATATAATTATATGTGACATGGGATATACGCAGGGTGCTTTCGATAACCGATGCTATACGTGTGAACGATTCTTAACCTTTATACATATACTATTACAGAGTACTACCACAGGGTTTGAACATTTTCAAGTAGGCCCCACTCGAAATTATATAATATTATATTGTGTTTAATATTAATAATAATAATTGTAATTTTTTTCTCCAAAGTCACGTATCAGCTTTCCACTAGTGGTAATAGTAACGCGTCCTGACAATAAAATACAGCTGATATATTATATACTTAAATATAAAATAATATGTCGTCCATCACAATTATAATATACAAAGTAGATGACTTTTAAATATGTAAAAAGTATCCGCACGACCACACTATGTATACTACGTCAACAATTAATATTTATAAATAATAAGGAAATTAGGAGCCATCAAACTGTAATGTACCTACATATTATTATCAAACACATTTGGTGACCACTGTGCTATGTATTTTCATACAAACATACGGTATATGTTGTGTATAGATTATTGTCAGATGTATAATGAAATTGCAAAGAAATCGTCAACCTTAACGTGAAAAAAATCTTAAAAACAATAACCAGTAATTATATTCCTCATACCTATTTTATAAGGAAACCTACTCGAAACTTCGAACTCTGATCACGTTAATTGCGATATGATCTGCAAGGTGCAGTCCGAAAATATTTGATTCTTGGTGATCGCAGTCATAATATACTATAATATTATATGGAGTATATAAATGCAATATTTTCTGACTGATATCACTCGGTCGAAAGTTGTGAAGGTACATCAGGGATTTTTTGAAAACATTTTTACAGTCCCACCAAACGACAGAGTCTAATGGATATAATATATATAGTGTCGTATAGTGCCGTCGTTGCCCTGATCCTCGGCTATTATATAATATATAAATATAGTATGTATCATTACTATTACACGTAGAGCATTATATATATTATATTATTATAAGGGTTTAAGTGTTTTTTATAGGTCGCCAATTATTATCCGTCGCCGTCCGCCGTTCCTCTATATACCTAAAGGGGGTAATTCGGTGGGCGTAAGTGCGTGTATATAATATAGGACGACCAAATGTACACCGATGCGTCTATTAATTTGGGTAGCATTATTACTATTATTTTAGACGTAATAAAATACAGGCGCCACGGATAAATGCGAGGACAATTTTCGCGGCGAGCACACGAGACCGGTTCACGAAAAAGGTAGGTATATACCGGCACACGGATTTCGCCAATAACGGTGTTTAAATATAAGGCTTAAAACACCCCGTTTGCGGGCAATAAACGAGAGAGAGGTAGGTAGGTACATATACTGTTTCGGTGGAGAGTTGGGCTGAGAGAATGAAAACATAGAATAGGTACCTATAATATCGGTGTTTCACGATAGGTCTTAGACTTAGCCGCCGCAGCAAACGTGTGTTTACGCGAGGGAAAACGACGCCCACACGCAGTATATAATATAATGATAATAATAACAACATATCGTTTGCGTGAAAGTGTGTAGGTATATGAACGGCGGCGGCAGCGTGGCGGTGGGAAAAAATGGTGAAAAATTCGATTTAAGAAAAATATATTAAACGTCATAATGGATTTGAGTTTCTTGTCGGTGACGCGGAAAGTGCGCGGTAGCTGTCAAAAAATAAAAATAAATTTTAAAAAATATCAAAAGACGTATACGGGCAAAAGCTAATGATACTAACGAAATCGATTACGCGAAGAGCATCTTCTGTATGTAGTAAGAGTTAGATTAAAATATAATATATATATTATGTTATTAGATACGAATTTTCCGTCGGGCCATTCTGTAATAACATTTTCTTTACGGTTTTCCTATATCCGTCCTTAGTCCTTAAAAACAAGTCGTTAGCTTGCCTTTTACACACATAATCCTCACTCCAAAAAATCCAACCCGTCCATTATTGATCCGATGAGAAAAAAGTCGTTATCACCACGAAAATCGCGAGTAGGTAAACTACGGATATAATAGATAATAATTATAAATATAAGTCTAAAACCACGAATTATGTGGAAATCGAGCGATAATTTATGTAGAACCACCTGTGCTTCATTTAAATACTGCATAATAATATACGACTGCGCAACTTCTGTAGTCAGCGGATTAAAAGTATACCTATACTATATTATAATAGGAATGTGGGGATATCTGTTATGATATTGATTTAATATGCTGTTTTTTTTTAAATAATTCATCGTTTGATGTATTAGCGGTGTCGTCCGATGATACGCGCACTACATAATAATAATTTCCCTAATACGGCGTATTATACCTGTGCCTAGGTGCATAATGCGTATAGAAAATTATTCGTTCGCGAGTTGTCTGTTAATATCTTATACATAAATATATCATATAATAAATTGATTTGCTGTGCGTATAAACGACCCGGACTTGTGTTAGATATGTATAATATTATGTATTTTCACGTCCGTCGTCATTCAGTCGGCTCCTATATAATAATATTCCGTTTTAACTTTTAATAAAAATATATTCGCACGCTCGGATTTCTCGTCCGCTCTTTCGACACGTCGTCTTGCCCCTCCTTCATCGGTGCTCAATGATAATACTATCATATTATCACCGTCATCGTACATCCGACTTGCTCGCGCCCGTCTCTTCCGCCGTTTTATCCACGACGATCGCCATCGATCGAAAATCAAAAAAATTATAAGACGAAATAATACCTACACTCGCTCTCTCAATTCACCGCGCCAACCAATCCTCGCAGTCTCGGTCGAAACTCGATCTCCCCGATACCTACGTCAGAGGTACTTCAACAGGTGTATGATAATATAATTATATAGTCTGCAGCCGATAAAAGTACCTATACTTATATTTTATATACATATTATATGGATACGAGAAAAAAATCGTAAAACTATTACACACAAGTTTTTGAACTTTCCTATATAACGCGCTTGTTTATTAGTATTATTACTTATTACACTCAGCGACGTCAACGTTTCTATATATAAATATATCGTATATACAGTAATAATACGTATATAATATAATATACACTATATCTCTTATATAGTGCCTATACCAACCGAAAGGATAAGCGTGTGTAAATTATAATATACTTGCAACGTATAATTATAGGTAGGTCGAGCTGGACGATACAATATTATAATGTATAACTTATTTACATGCCATTTTTTTTTAATTTTAAGTTTTAATTTTCTCTGTAAATTTTCAATATATTTTTTTGTAGAAAATTAATTTTTTCGTCATTTAAATGATATTTGGAATAGAATTTCTCTATTACTTCTTATTGCACTATAATTAACATAATATTTTTTTAGGTCTAAATTAAGTGAATACAGTCTGTATACAGTTGATACAAAAAGTAATGTATGTATATAAAATAAGATACGAGGACTGGGTGGATTGAGCGAAGATGGAGGTGAGCACTGACATCACTACTTAAAATCAATATTATAAACACTGAAAAGTGGCAGAACCAATACGCCGATATAATTAAGTAGGTATATGGTATAAATGTTTTTAAAATATCTAAAGGATTGGTGAAGCAGTAGAATATTATTAGCATCATGCGAATTGCATCTCCATACTATTCTGCCACATATTTATTGACTCTGTTCAGAAAATTATCGTATAATATCATGATAAAAGAAAGCTTTGAGGTTATAATGTTCATCTAGAATCTAGATAACCGTCCGACAAACACGTGTAATTTAAATCATAATAATATATCACGCGGGATTTATCACTCGAGACTATCGTCGAGCGTCGTTTTCTGTAGTACTTGCGTATATCGCGTAAACACAGACCAACCCGAAGAAAAAAATTTAATAAAATTACATTATAATAACATGTCGCAAGACTATTCATTATACCTACACAGGTACGCGGGTTATTGCGAGGCGACGTATGTAAGTATGTAACTACTAATAACTATAATAATTATAATACAATATTATAGGCCATACTCCCGCACTCGCAATATCGTATTATATAGCTGATAGTGATAATACATAGGTAGATACCGTATTTATATAATATGTTATACACGCGTGTGCAGCGGTTATTGGGTTGCGGAAATTACACGTTATCCTGCGCGCGCTGCAGAAGACGGCGTCAACGTGATCCCTATTTATATTATATATATATATATCGTTACCGGCTCCTCTAATGAATCGGTCGGTAATCTCGGGGCCGAGAAGATGGGTACACACGCGTATATATGGCCAAGTATATTATATGGGTACCACGTTACCGTAGGGTGGGTATACGCGCGCGTACGTGCAGTATATATAACATAGGTAGGTAATAACGATTGTGCCGAGACACACGGCGAGAAAAAGTATAGTATAGGTAGGTAATAAACAGAGGAAAATAAATGGAGTATATAAGGACAATCCCCTTCGCACGACGGACACCGCGGACCATGTCTAAACTCGAATAATTGCTATCATTCCGTGTACCTATACACAACCCGAATGTAATAATAACAAATAACTTAGAGATTACTTATTATATGGGTATAACGCAGAATCGCATGCGGCAGTCGTAATCGGCGAGCTCATGATGTGGTTATTATAGGTATAATATAATAGGTATTACTGATGGTATACTCACTCTCGTGGGTCTTCATGTGTGCTCTCAGGTTGCAGGCGAGGGCGAATTTCTTTTGGCACAGTTCGCAAGCGTGCGGTTTGTCCCCTGAAACAAACAAAAAAATACGACCGTTAAATATACGTCTTACATACCTATTATTTTCGATATAATATAATATCATATATTTACGAGTTTGTATATGCCTGTATAATATTATATTATATACCTGCTACGTATACGTGCCTATATAGTTATCTACTTTACGAACGACCTGAAGCAGGACTGCAGTTATCGTCGTGTCAATAAAAATAATTGACAATATATTACGCGATGAGTATTTTACGATATTTATATGTATATACGTATATATATTGTATATTATATAGCTAGACGAAACCTTAATCCGGATTAAAATATATTATATTATAATATTATACCGTCGTCGATTCGTCTTATCCGGATCGGAATAAATATCACGATTCCGGCGTCGAGAGAAAATACCTGCAGCAGTGAACCATAATAATAAACACATGAAATGGGTTTCTCTCTCTCTCACTCTCTCTCTCTCTCTCTCTCTCTTTCTTCGTATACACGTAGTATACGTCGTAAATAAATATATATTGTACGTTTGGATGAAGCGTATATAGACATGGGAACTATTGAACCAACATATTTTATAACCATATTCCTTGTGACTAGAGCAGTATGTTTATAGCTTCGGTTTTCATCCCTCGAGGTTGCTAGAGAGTGGCTCACACATGAATTTTGTTTCTTCATCACGAAAATCGAATATTTTTTTGTTAATATAATATGGGGATGCTATATTATGTAAGTTTGTAGCTTATATAGACTCACGAGTATTGCAAGAACTTTAGGGACTCGACTAATGCAGAAACTTTTCTTAGAGTAGTAGAGTATATAGCATCAAGTTCGAAAATATACCAAATAGTAAATAATAAATACAATTCTACACAGGAGGATTGCCCATTTCGGTAGAATTAGCTCATAAAGCATAATAATATGGACGACCAACACCGATATAATATTTCGTTTGTGAGTGTCCCGCAAGTATATTATATACGATTCACACAGAAGGGGAGAGAAAGAGAGGAAGAGAGAAATCCATCTTACAATAATTTGTCCCGTTCCCGTGATCGTCAGACATGTGACTACGTGTGACGTGCAGTGATGGCTCGGTGTCGTCTCGGCGAAAGGATATTATACATTACAATAATAATAACAACAATTAATAATAATAATAATATTATTGTTATTTGCGATCGGGTCGATTCGCTCACCGCCACCGCCGGGGCCGGTCGTTCAGAGAGACGATTTTAATTAGACATGGCATTGTTCAATTCAAACGTCACGTTGCCGCCGTATTATAATAAGGCGAAGAAATTTCCACGCCCCGCCCCCAGCAGTGTATCGTCGTCGTCGTTTTGAATGGCACTCTAGTCACAGCCTCCACCACGCAATATCACCACAAAGTACCAATACACATAATACAATATATACGTGCATATACATATTGTCGGTATATATTTATATAGAATATGGGCACAATCGCCATCATATCCTACGTCGTATGCGCGAGACCGTCTGGCCGGCCGTCTCCTCTCTTATTTGCGAGCGTTCAATTCGATCTTCAATAAAATATGTCCGTGGTGAAGACGCGACATAATAATTATTATGTATAACGTGAAGGACTGCGTGCGAAGTCGATCGCTGCACATGTCTATAACGTCGTTGTTACCGACGACTATAATATTATAATATACCGATCGTCATCCGCTCGGGTCGATCACATAATATTATTATATTGTCGGGCGAAATATCGACAATATTACAGAACATAATAATATCGTAGTACAAAATATGATACCTGTTGCAGCGGCGTATTTTCAAGCGGCTTGGGTGATAAGGAAGTTTTACTTCGTGCGAAACTCTTAAAATTACGAAACGAAATCATACAGAAATCACTCGTCCCACAGATGCAGAGTATCCCAGTTTTATCCATATCCATTATATGTTAAATATTACGTGTGTAGGAAGTGGTGGGAACTGAGAGGTGGACCTATCGGTCCTCATTATATACAGCATAGGTATTATAATATACGCGTTGGTCCTGCGCGTCAGCACGTTATAAGACGCATAACCGCATTACCATCGTGCCTGGCTGTACATAGGTAGCAGATCGATCGTGTTTTTCTTATTCGCTTCGTCTATTTATAACCCATACCTACTTTATATTATGCTTTATTATTATAATTTATGTTCGCCCGTCGATCTGCAGCCACGCACATCATCAACGCCGTCGTATGAGAACCAGTACATCTCTCGGCCATGGTCGAGTGTCGACCGCGGGCGCGGAAACCTCCGGAGCCCTCGTATCGGGGGATTTTTTTTTTTAATATAAATATTATCTCCACACGTATATAAGCGCGCGATACGCTATTATAACAATAATAATAATAATATATATGCGTGTAATATATGTATACACGTTGCCGTCGTCGTGTACCGGCCGATAGTATAATAATAATACGATAATAATATAACGTTTCATTACGTGTACACGGCTACTATATATAGTATATACCTAAAGGTACACGCGCGTAATAAACACACGCTAAAAAAAAAAGGAAAGAAGATAGACTATATTATATTATTATAATAAATATTATTATGCATAGGTGTGTGTGTGTGTGAGTGTAATAGCTGGTGCCTATATGTATATAAAAAATATATAAGGTAATATAAAACAAGAACAGGTCGGATCGCTCGGGCCGGTGCAGCGTATACGTATATAGCTAAATTACGACGGTAATTATTATTCCGAGGGGAGAACGGGTTTGACCACCCTCCCACCCCTACCCCTCCCTCTCGTCCGTGGGTCCGACGACTTTGTCCAGCCCCTCGTGTGCCGCGGACGCCTTCGAATCACGCGCGCGCATAATTTGTATCAGCGGTAGCAGTCAGCCCGCTACCATATATACCTGACTGCAGATATCGACCGAGGTATACCGCGGTAGCCGCGCGTGGGACGTCTTCCGTTGAAGGGTGTGTGTGTGTGTGTGTGTGTGTGTGTGTGTGTGTGGCGAGGCGCCGCTGCGTAAACAGAACGATAAATCCAAACAAAGAGCGTTTTACCGCGTCTTAGAGGTTTTCCACGCTTAACATATTAATGTATATTATTATGTGATAAAATAAAGTAAAATAATGTTGCCGCAATAGACAGGCGCAATACCAACGACGACGAACATTGGTTTCGATTGGTATAATGTCGATTTTCGAGATGGGAATCAATTTTTTTTTCTTTCCCTCGGGTTGTTCGGCCGGTGGCCTATCAAGATCACCAGGCTATGGCTTTTCGCTCTATGTGGGGTGTTTCTATGAATGGTATTTGGTCTGTTTTAGTTTGGCCGTGAAAAATTTTAAGAGGGATAGAGTGTGTTGAAGGGTGTCATCAGCAAAAAGGACCACTGTGACTGTTCCTAGTATAGGGAAATCATTGGTGTGGATCGAGTACAGGAACAGTGATAAGCATGACCTCTGATGGGAATCGAATCGGTTTCGGTAGGGTTGAGCTCCTGGAAGTTAATATTTTATCTCACGACTGTTTTCCGGTGTCTTGAAATTCCGTTTGTCCCTCACATACACGTGGATTGGTAATTAACATATTTTAATAGGTATACGGTATAATATTTATAAGCGGAATGGTGGGGAAGAAAATAAATACTAATGACGGGGTGTATTGTCGTACCCCTGCAGTAACCATTCACCCTCAGTTATGCCACTGCCGAAATTTATTACACGATACTATAAATTAATATAACAATAATAATAAGTCGTCGTACTCCAGATCTTTGTCGGGACGCGTGCGAGCAGCAGGTGTCACGAAAAGCGAGGAAACACCTGCTGCAGCAGCAGTCGCCCTATATAGAGAGAAACTCGACTTTTCGGAAGCATTCGTCAAAGTCTCCCGCCGTTTACAAATTTACAATATTCATTATTGCTATCGGTTTATCTGACGAATATTAAATTATTATTATAAACGTCACAAGGGAAACAACAGACGGAGTTTTGAGAAATTATTAGTAATTACGAATCTTTTCCAAAACTTGTATATAGGAATCGCTGGTGCGCTGTACTCTCCGACGGAGTGTACGTTGTGTACTTATATATTATTGGATATTATTATAAGTTGGGTTTAAACTACATCGGACGACGACGACGACGGAAACATTCCATCGGGCGGCGGCATCGGCGGTGCAGGACGGACGATATTTAAATATATAATAATTACCCCGGCGACGAGACCGGGTCGTGTGTCACGCGTAAATCAGCCACGGCCAATAATAATCTACCGACTGGCGTGTACAACGGCGACGTTATAATGTACACACGTACCTATATTATTTCTCTTTCTCTCTCTCTAACTCCCTCTGTATATAATAATATATTATATGGGACGCAGGGCAGATGTAAGCGGCAGATAAGTGAACGGTGCACGACCGTGTTTATGTTAATGAACCGACGGCAATTACAAGTTAATTTACTCGCGGGACTCCTGCTCGATTGATAAATATATACGTATAATAATAGCTCTGTATACGTCGCGTCGCATATACATACATCTATTATATTATTTTCTATCCGTTTTGTCCAAGCACCGCTGCTACGGTTACGCGCGACGAGAGACTACAACTGCGCAGTGTTCACCCGGACCAGGCCGCGAGGAGATGAGGAGAGAGACACACTGCGCTCTATAAGATTGTATAATAATACTCATTTTCTATTATTTACCTGGTCGTCGTGCTTGTTCGCCCACATTTTCTATTTAAAATATATAATATTATCTACTTAATAATAAAATATAGTTATTATTGTAATGTCCCCGTCTCTCTCAAAAGATACTCGCGACCGACACACGATCGTTATAACTTATAATATACACACACTCCATGTCTTATAATTTATATTATAGGTACGCCATCGTAGTTATTATTTCTTATCGGTATGGCGTGTATGTATATAGTTTGTCTTTTTTTTTATAAGTTTACGCTGATACGACAACTTTAAACGCGAGGGACGAGTAAACC